TTACAACATACTTAGTATGATTTTTTCTGAAGCATAGCACTAGTTTTGCTTAACACGATGTTTGCATGATAAATTAGTTTCAAAGTTCAGATGTTTATAAAGAAGAATGATAAACCTAATGGTTCTTCATTACTTGAGCAAAAATTATTAATATGACCTGTTGTTTGTGGTTTACTGTGAGACACAAACATAATTTCAATAACAGAAACGTAATTTACCTTTTATAACTCTGCTTACAAAGGGTTATTAAATACCTGACATTACTTTGTGTTTGACAAACAATGAAGTCGTAACACTTATAATTAATTGTTTATGAGTTGTAAGTCGAGTATTTATTCGCTTTAAATACTAGGTATTCGGTAACCTCACTCACACGGTTGAACACAACTAAAGCGTTGTTTCGTAGTAGTTTTCTGCGAGTCTGTGGTATCATCCCGGTTGTACCCTCCCATTCGTGACAAATCATGGCTCCTCCGCACTTTAAACTTATTTATTCTCTTTATTAATTACTAGCTACTCTCTTGCTTTCACCCGCTGCTTGGCTACATTTTATCGTAGCGTGATGTTTTATTATATATAGTCTATATCATTCAGGAACATTGCAGCTCTCATCTAACAGTGAAAAAAATTTGGAAATCTGACCAGCGGTTCCAAAGATTATCCATATCCAAAGACACCCTACATACAAACTTATAAATTTTACCTCTTTATAATATTAGTAAAGATTTAAACAAACAAATTCTTTTTACTTATATTTCTTAAAAATACAAAAAGAAACATTTAGAAATATAAGGAATAGTGTCCTACTCCTACCGGTATCGGAAACAGGGACAATTCTAAAACGACGCTTTCTGAATCAAGCCCTTGATCGAATTGTAATATAAATGTATTATAATATACGTAATATTATCATTATTACAGTGTTTAGGTAAACACTTTTTTAATTAAAACCTCCTCGATAGTCGTTATTCATCTACAATAATCTACATCTTATTATGATCCGTGTTAATGGATAAGATTGTTACGAAGCAAAATTCCAGTTAAATTGAAACCATAATAATAGAATTTGTTCAACTGAAGAACCGAATTCTGATACTCACTACACTAATTAAAGTAAGTAATAATATCATGGAATCATCCCTATTAATATTATAAAAACAAAAGTATGTTTGTTTATTGTTTTTGTATAGGTTGGCAAGTAAATAGCGCCATCAGGGTTTATGGATTTGTGGATTGAGCCTCCAATAACCTAAATCACGCAGCAAAATACCTACAATGCAAGCGTTGTTTCACGCCGGTTTTCTGTGTGGCCGTGGTATCACTACGGTCGAACTCGCCCATTCGTACCGAAGCATGGCTCTCTCTCTTAGTTTGTTACCTGATTACGCTTAGGATCAGTTTTACATTGTCTGGTCAATATGTACATTTGAATATAGAACGTAATTATAAGAATAATATGACAAATAAGTTTATCGGGCACTTATACAGAGAAGATATAACCGGCGTATCATCGTTAGACTATATTTTTCTCATTTAGTGTAAGTACATAAAGGTGATATGTAGAGAAGGGCTTCACGGAGTAAGCTAATTCACGCGGGCAAAGCTGCGGGAACAAGTTAGTTTATAATAACGCTAGATAATGTTATAGTGATTAATATTACTAAAACCACGACGAAACAGAGGTACAATGAAGCGTAAAAGTTTTGATAAGGGTCGCGCGGTAGGTGTGTTATGGGCAATAATTTAGATGCAAACAATTAACAAAGTTTAGAACGGGAAAATGTATCGTGAATTTGTGAATAACTTTTCTAAGTTAAAATACTAAAAGACTTAAACATTTTGAAACTGATCTTTTACATATTGTAATACGGGTGACATTTGTTTGTATGTGTCCCGGTTACATTACGTAGCGAATAATAAGGACAATGTAAGTAGACTATGTATTTAGCTGTGCTAAATAAAATAAAAAAACAATAGCGATCACTTTTTTTAGACGAAAAAAATCATCAAATGATTTATCTCGCCCTGGTTGCGACTCTTACTGACGAAAAATCACCCTGTTCCTTCTTTTGTTTCATGCCAAAGCGGTATTACTGCGCTTGACCCTCAACCTAGTCTGAGATCGAGATCACCTTAAATTTAAATTTGGAAAAAAAAAGTAACGACGTGGCTTGATACTAGTCGAGTAGTTATCTTGACAGTTGTACGAGTAAACACAGATAAAATAAACATAATTAATTAATTAAATGTATCTCATGAAAGTTATGACACAAGAATTAATTATTGCTGTTCAAATTATTCGATTATTGACCTACCTCAAGGAGGTAGGTTTCTGAAAGGCGTGCTGTGTTAGCGTGTATTGTGACATACCGATTACATAGGCACTAGCTAACGTAAGCCGTATAGGTAACACGACGCCCACGCTTAGTGTGTAGTAATTTGATAGTTTATTTTAAGTATGTATTTATTTTTGAACGAGGAAAAATCATAATGTTGTCGTATTGGCTCGAAGGTTAAGGCGCCCATTTCTTGTGCATGAGGCGGTTCCAAAACCTGGCAACTACAATGTGACTTTTTCCAAGTCATATATACTTTTTAAAGTTCATTTAAACACCACAGACCTACGGTGATGGAAAGTATCGTGAAGAGACCTCGTCAAAAGAGAAGCTCTTCTCTTCTCCTCTTCTTCCGAGAATAAAGAACTAAAGACTGATGATGATGATTAAAATCAATCTATAACCATTCCGTCCGTTTTTGAGCTCCAAGTCCTGCCGTGGTTAATCATTGGACTTATAACCACAACCCTAGCTGGAAGCTAACATCACGCAGTATTCCCAGGTGGTCAGCCCTTCCAAGTTCTAGCCGCGCTCGATGTTGCTTAATTTCGATGATCGGACGAGAACCAGTGCTGTGACAACTGACGAGAACAAGCTATGGACTTATAATTTTTTTGTACTTTTTTTTCACCACACAATTAGATACCTATTGGTGAATGGCAAAATTAATCATTCCAGACGCGGGCATTGTGCTGTGTATAGACCTTACTTAACTAGCTTTTGCATTACGCGTCTTCGTTTTAATTAGTTTTACTAACTACATATTATCGTCTTTAATGTATTTTACAAACCCGAACTTCACAATTTTAATAGGAGAGGGAATAATAGATACTGTTCTTTGTTAAATCTTACCGCATTTCGAAAAAAGTTTTGCTCTAGCATTGAATTAAAAAAAAAAATAAACACAAAATTTTACAAATTATAAAATGCAATAATACATACTCTACTACTAACTCAGTAACTATGTTTACGACTACTAAGTATTAAAAAGAAACAGTATCAGTTGTTGTACATCGTATTAAACTCGTTAAACAACTTCGTCTAGTTACTTTGATGTTTTCCGCAGTTTTACGGCGATTCGATCAACAAAATCAAGGCAGTACGTACATACCGGAAACATTTTGATAACCTTTTCAATAATGTATCTTGTACCTTATGAAGTTCATTATTGTATTTATTTTAAGAGGCTATTTATAAAGCATTGATCTTTCATTTAGGTTATTAAATCTTTATGGAGTATGTATTTAAATAAAAAGCTGCGTTCATTTTTGTTGATTGGGGCGTGGGTTCGAAACCTGACAAGTACCAATGTAATTTTTTCCGAGCTGTATTAAGTAGGAACTTTTTAAGACTATTTAAACACCAATGGCATGATGCAACGGCGAAGAAAACTGTCCAGAGGAAACCTGGACTTATAATATTAAATTATAAGTTTGTAATTGTCAATCCGCTTTGACCAAGCCTGGTGATTTAAAGGTCAAACCTTCTCCGTGTGAGAGAGGCATTTGCTGAGCAGTGCACTTATAAAATGCTGATGAATAATCAGTAAGACAATTTACCTTCAGGTATATTATCTGTTTATAGTGAAAGTAAATTAAAAATCGTTTTAGAAGTAATTCATAGTGGCAACATATATCCTACCTACGATATCACGGGACATCGGAGAAATTCGATTTGTTATCCTATTCCTTATTAGTCGATTGCTTTAAGATTATATACGTCCAGTTATTCTGATTTCCCACCGGAATATTCGTCTAGAACGATATAATTAGGTTTGTTTACTTGTTTAGGTACTAAGATTTTCCAAGAAAACATATTTCTATTCGTTATTATAAGTTAAAAGTCATTGCTGATAAATCTAGCTTCCCTCGAAGGAAAAGAAAAAATACGGCCTTGATAAGTGGTAGCTCTAAATGTAATAATAATATATTGATACCTTCGTACATCGTGTAATAAATAAACCTACAATTCTGTGCTTTACTCAGGAAAAAACCAGGCTTAACAAGATTATCAGCTATTGATAATACCTTAGAAATGCTTCAGAAATATTGAATATAATCTATATTTGGACACGATTTCAATATTCCGCCTCTTATAAAAATACAAACTTACATGATCATCATCATCATTATAATTATCTACTAGTGCTGTGTTTGTGAGCTCTAGAGCGTTGCCCTCTTAGACCAATAACATCTGTAGTGTAGGTAATTATAATAACATTACACGCTATATAGTTACAAGAAACATTGCATGGGACGATCTTTTTATTTCTTTTGAAAATGGTCGTGGAAGGAAAATAAGAAAACTAATTACGTCATATTATGTCAACCCCCACCAACAAAGTTAATCGCGTCTTAATCATTAATTTGGTCGCGTTAACAGTCAATTAGTGAGTGACCTTCAAGATGTTTACGTGCAACAAACAAACCACAATGAGTTAAATAATAGTATAATGTACACTGTGTTTATACATTTAAATCATCATAACGTATCATTTATTTACGGCAGAAGGTAATGTTGGGCTTATAATAATTGTTCCAACTTTAAAACATAAACACACGAACCGGTTTCGAGTTGGACTTTACTCGTTTAACGTCGTACGTGAATATTTTTATTCCAGAGGGGTCTATAACTTCGATGAAAACATGTTTGTCTTGTTCACAGGTAAAATGACATTGTCAGCGCCACCGATCGACGAGTATGAGGACCCGTTCATCGTGATGAACACGACGAATGTGACGAGCCACCCGGCAGCCTACGACGAGCCATACACGCTCGACCTGGTGGTACCACTCACCGTCACCTACGTCGTCATATTCGTGGCCGGCATCCTGGGGAACACCAGCACCTGTGTGGTCATTGCGAGGAACCGTTCCATGCATACAGCCACAAACTTTTATCTATTCAGTTTGGCAATTTCGGATCTCATACTGTTGGTATGTGGATTGCCGTTTGAGGTGCACAGATTATGGAATCCGGACACGTATCCGTTGGGCGAGGCTCACTGCATCGCCATCGGGTTAGCGTCGGAGACTTCAGCTAACGCGACAGTGTTGACGATTACAGCGTTTACTGTGGAGCGGTACATAGCAATATGTAGACCGTTCATGTCGCACACCATGTCGAAGTTGTCGCGGGCGGTGCGGTTTATAATAGCTATTTGGGTGTTTGCATTGTGTACCGCGGTGCCGCAAGCGATGCAGTTCGGAATAGTGTCGTATAAGGATAATGGTCAGAATGTGAGCGCGTGTACAGTGAAGGGTGTTGGTGTACATCAAGTGTTCGTTATATCTAGTTTCGTGTTCTTCGTGGTGCCTATGTCGATGATATCTGTGTTGTACGCGTTGATCGGTATTAAGTTGCGGACCTCTCGGGTGTTGCATCCAGTGAAGAAGCTCTCTGTGGACAGTAATGAGAGAGCTAGTGGACAGATGCAGTACAGGAACGGAGCCTCACAGAGGAGAGTTATTAGAATGCTAGGTAAGATACTTCATTATATTCAATACAAACATTATTTTATTCAAATTTAATTTTAGTTTGTCTGGGTATGCATTAATATTTGATGGCAACAACATCTATACTATCTTTAGCCAAGAAACTACAGCCTTAATAAATAATGATAACCAGCCAAATTGATATTTTTATACGCAACACGCGTATAAAAATATCAATTTCAAAAATAACCGTTTTTGACAAGATCAAAATACCAAAAATATTATTTCAGAACAGAAGACTACTTTGAATACATTAATAAACTTTTACATTAATTACGATTGTTTAATATTTTGATCAAATGAATAATTCATTCGTGACAGTGTAGTGACCGAACTTAGGTACTTACCTAATTAAAGTTTTAATTTATTACTTTACGTATTATTTTATTTCAATGTCACTTTTGACAGCGCCTTGGGGCTCGTAGTAAGAATTCGTACAAAGAAAATTATGTCATGAACTACAGACGTAAAAGATTTTCATAATGTTCTTTTTGTAAACAAGGCATCCATGAATAATTCGACCAAATAGTATGTATTTTTAAATCATTCGGTATAAGATCTAATTTTGCGTAATGTGGTGACCTAAAAACATAAAATGAACCTAATTTTATTTACGTATTTCTACTATAGTGTTGATTTATTTACTCGTATGTCATAGGGTGGCAAATAATTAGACGGATTTTTTTCTTTTTTTTTATGTAATAGGTCGGCAAACGAGCAGACGGATTACCTGATGGTAAGCAATCAGCGCCGCCCATGGCCACTTGTCCTACAACTGGCTTGCTGGTTGCTGGCCTCTTATGAATTATTAGAGATCTAAGGATAGGGGATTTGAGGATTGAGGATGGGGGAAGATGGAACAGAGTAAGTGTTGCTTCACGCCGCTTTTCTGTAAGGCCGTGATATCAATCTGGGCGAGCAGGGCTATTTATGCCACTTACACTTATACACCATCACACACACACACACATACACACCAATAATTTTCCTTTTTTACCCGACTGCCAAAGAAGGAGGGTAATGTTTTTCGAGTGTATGTAAGTATGTATGTATGTCTTTTCCTTTGTGACCTCCTGTAGCCTAAACGGCTTGATGGATTTTGATGTATGAGGTATCGTTAGATTTGTCTTGATTACGGGAGTGTCATAGGATACATTTTATCCTAAAAGTCCCACGGGATAAAGACATAATAATATTTTTTCTAAATTTCCCTTTAAAAAAATATGTATGCGGTATCATTAGATTCATTTCAATCACGGGAGTAATTAATATAGGATACGTTTTTTCTCAAAATTCCCACGGGAACATGTTAATTCTGCGTCAACGCAAAGCAACTCATGTGTTAGCAAGCAAAAAGATAGGGCGTGGCCTGGCATGCGGCGCGCGGCGCGGTGCGGAGGGGGATATGCTCGAGTATACAGCCCGAATGCGTACAACATTTTCGTTAAATAAAAACAGCTAAAAAGTTATAAATAAATAAAATTATTATTAAAAAAACAAAATACCCGACTGCACACTAAAAAAAGAGTAAAACAAGCCCCACAATACAAATTTACTGAATATAATTTATAAATGTTGATGGAAAGCATCGCAGGCGGGGACCACCTTGACCGCCACCAACGAAAATTCTGCTAAATGGTGCACAACAGAAATGACTATAAATAAGCCTCTGTTGGTCCCCGCCTGCGATGCTTTCCATCAACATTTATAAATTATATTCAGTAAATTTGTATTGTGGGGCTTGTTTTACTCTTTTTTTAGGGTGCAGTCGGGTATTTTGTTTTTTTAATAATAATATAGTAAGAAAAAGTTTAGTATATACCTTATATTAGTGAGATGTTAAAGTGTTATAATAATCAAAACTTATGAGGCTATGAAACTAACATTATAATGATTAAGATTTTTCTTATAAGCAATCTTAATATAAGTACGAGAATGTTAGCGCTTAGCTGTTATTTATTGAACTATCTAATTAACTACGTGTCACATCACTTTAATTGTTTACAATCATTATTATATGTACACTTGGTACATTAGACCGGTATGAAAGTAGTTTTTAGTGGACATTCAACAGATTGGTATGGGTTAAGGATTGGGTCAAATGTCCCTACACTTGTCAGGCACGTCCTACAGGAGATTAATCATATTACATTCGGTTTCTGTTTTCTTTTTCCCCCGAGAGAATGGCTGTGAGTGAAAGGGGACGAAATTTATTGGAAGAAACAAATATACGCGAATACAGAATTATTCAAATCGCAAATTATCTGTTAGCTCCACTGCTAATTAAATGACGATGACTCATATATTATTAACAAATATTAAAAAAAACAATTATGTCTATTTGGAATAGGTTTCTTAGTTTGTTAAATAGATACTTACTTATATATTCTACTAGCGCTTCGTCTGGCTTCGTGCGGTGTATCCGCATTTTGGTACTGGATTTCTCCACTATTTGATGGATTACACAATACATCTACACCTTGCTCTTCAATCACTCTATCTATAAAAAAACATTTGAGCATACGTAGGGATATAGGGACTGAGAAAGCGATTTTTTTTTAAATATATTATGTAGTAAAAGTCATACATACCTCTTTTCAAGTCTTTTGAGAAATGTTTGGATATTCAGTTGAGATGTTATGATGTTATTACAGAAATGGTTGAAGGGACCAAAATCTGCGATGAAATTATATTAAGAGCGGTTGTTGGCCTGAATACACCATAATTTGTCCGCATACCCGTTAGGACGAAACTACTCAACCGATTAACTAATAACTGTTAAGTTTATTTGCTCGTTTAACGTTTATATTTACGTATTCGGAATTCAAAGGGGATTTCAAGTAGGTATTTCGCTTGCGACAATTTCTCAGATCTTTATTATATTTAATAGGATTTTGCTACCTTTTTGGGTTTGGATTTTGACAAATATTTTGATCTTAAAGGCTTTCATATCTGTTTGTTTATACGAGTTACTTGTAAACAGAAATTGAATTAGACTAACTACTCCTTGTTAGTAAGACTTATTGTAGTCTAGAATAGCTTGTTAGTATATGTGGCAGGCTAGCAAATATTTACATTTAGTAGCTTCAGCTGTATTTCTTTTTTATTTACTTATTAGAAAACGATATGAAACTTCACTACATACCTAGTATAAAGCAAAGTCGTTTTTTCTGTCCCTATATACCTATGTATGTTTAAATGTTTAAAACTACGTAACGGATTCAGATACACCCTTTTTAATTTATAGAGTGACTGAAAAGGGTGGTTTATATGTATAATATTAATAAGATCCATGAAATAGTGAAGAATTTTGCATCATCATTGCACGTACAAAGCCGGGGCGGATCGCTAGTTCCTACTAAATCTATGCATATATTTTTTAAAACAAAAGAAACTAGTGTTAGTTACACTATTTATAACTCCAGAACGGCTAAACCGATTTTGTTGAGAATTGTGGAGATGTAGTTTAGAACCAAAAGAAGAACGTAGGATAGGGTAGGTAGAATAGGGTAGGTAGCATAGGGTAGGTAACTAGGTAGTAAAGTATAGGTTATCAAGTGACACGAGTGAATACGCGGGTAAAGCTAGTGTATTATAGTTGTCCTAATAAGAAGTCGTGTTTAATACCGGAAAACTTTCAAGTCATTGACACTTCTTGAGGATTTTCGTCTTCCTTGCCACATTAATTCATATATTTGGGTTAACATTTGATCACACAATTTCAATACAAATGAACATCTGAGTCCTACAGACGATATCTTTTATGTTCAATTTCAATGTAACCAGAAAGCGTTCAATATTCAAACGCAAAATATTTCTTTTCATCGTCTTTTGCCCTTAGTAAATTGGTATGTTAATATTCTTATGAAAAAATAAAAAGCTTGCCATTTCATGTCATGACCTAATTTTTTCTTTTTTATACTTAGGCATAGTTTAAAGGAACTTTGTTGGTGTTTTAATGGGACTTTTGTTCTGAGACCTGATTTTGCCTTATACGATTACTTTGATTACTTTGTTATGCAAAGGGATAGACAACAAGTTTTGCAATTTGCACGTTTTTTTAATATCTTGCTCTATATCGTTTCTATGGTCAATTATTTTATGATTACACTAGCTACTCTCGCGCGGTTTCACCCGCTGCTCGGTTCCATTTGATCGTAGTGTGATATTTTGTAGTCTATAGCACTCAGGAACATGTAGCTATTTATCAGTGAAAGAATTTTGGCAATCCGACCAGCGGTTCCAAAGTTTATCCCCTACATACAAACTTACCTCTTTATAATTAGTATAGATATTATTTTGCTTAAATATGCGTAACCTTTCGTAGGTTCTGTTACTTTGAGACAGTAATCACGCATTATGAATATCATATATTGTCTACGCCGGAACGCATCATTCTTCGTCGTGTATGGAACGCATCCGTAGCGCGAGCGAGAGGTTCGAGCTGCGCGCCTTCCGGCCACTGCCATTCTAATAGTCGCGACGAAAACACACTCAATTATTGTAAACTTATATTATAATTAGCGATTAAAGAAGTACATCTGCAAAGGGATCTACTTATTTATATCGATCAACTGGCGACCGTGCAAAAAGAAGAATAACTGCAATCTTCGGATAAACTACAAAAATCAAAAGGAGTTTGGTGTCAGCGCAACATGGCGGCGAACGCGAACGCCTAAAACAAACGACGACTACGACTATACATAATTATATTATTTGGAAAGAAGACAAGTCCACCTGCGAGCTGCTAGTAAGGATACCTAGCCACCATGGGAAGTGCTCGTTTTTTCCTCCTCCTTTCTTTTCCAACTGTCCGCTATCGGGTGAAAGTAATGTAGTCAATTCATTTTTTAATTTTCTAAAAATTCGTCGTCCGCCATTTGTATGTTTCTATATAAAATTAAATTTCATTTTAGTTCGTCATGATTAGAAAGGTTGGTCATTTTCAAGTAATTTTTTCTTATTAAAATTTTAATATATGGCCTA